CAGACCTGTACCCCTGAAACAAATAATACATTATACGTTAATTAAAAAAAAAAAAAGCAGACAGTGTCTGTCACTTGTGCTCCTTTCTACCCTTGGATGGGGCAGGATTTTTAGTGTACTTTTATTTTCTCCTGTTCTTACTCTAGGTTTTGTTAAATAAGAATTATAGTGACACTTAAAAATATATCCCTTTTTATACTTTAGATTTATTCTTAATAATATTTACTTACTGTTTTAATACAGGTTTTCCTGCTGTCCAAAAGTAGAGCATTCCTATAAAACCCGAAATGGCTTGAATTGAAGAAGCACTTACCATTAATTTATATTGAAAAGTTCTTGAGCTTTCCTAGACCCAAACAGTAACCTCTCTTAGGCTTTTCTGATACCTTAGGACACATCTTGCTAACATGCACAAAATAAATCGAGATAATGCATAGGTGTTCAGAGATCCAGTTCAAAGCTACAGCGCTTGCTGCCCAGACGCTGAGTGTAGTTCCCGGGCAAGGAGCTTGGTGGCGCCACTCTCGTGCTCAGGGTGTGTGCTGCCTCTATAATGGCTCACTGCGAAACAAAGACAAAAACTCACCTTTTTTCATAAAAGCGAAAATCCTTTTTGCCTTTCTTTTGGTCGGCAAAAACAGATACTAACGTAGGTCTTTTGTAAAAGTGAAGAAGCTAACTGAACTTTGGAAAAGCAGAGAATACATGTAATTTTTTTTAAAGAACTGGTGTATGTATTACATGTAATTTTCCCTTAAATCTTTTTATTCTTTCACGGTTAAGTATGAGGCAGCGTTGCCTAAGATTGAGTTAATACTAGCTTCGGAGTTGGCTCCCTGTCTACGTTCAAATCATGACTCCACCACTTCCCAGCTGTGTGACCTGGTGTATTATTACAGTTTCCTCCCCTGTAGACCAGGGGTTTGTAATAGGACCTCTGTCCTGTTTCAGGGGCTTGCTGGGAGTGCTCTGTCTGTGATGAACATTCTGGGTCAGGGAGCTCCGCTGTCCGCTGTTCTGCAGGCGCTGTGCGTTCCAGGCACACTTTCTTCTGCCCTTGGTGAGGGATCATGTTCTTTTAGTGACCATACCTCTGCCCTGGCTGGATATATAGTGTACTGTGCCTAGCCTCTCTCTGGCTGGTTTATTTTCTGTTTTTGCCTGTCTGGAGGTGCAATTTATTTTTTCTGTCAAGCATGACTGCCAGTTTGGATCAGTGCAGAATTCCAGGGTCAGAGCGTTTCCCCTAGAATTATGGAAAGATTGTCTCTTTGCTTTCTGACAGTTCAGAGAAACAGAAGAGTTATCCAACTCAGGTGGAGTATTTTTCCTCTGAAGGGAATCTTTTCTTCTTCTGTTTTGTTCTGACTAGAAGCTACAGCATTTTCTCTTTACTTTTGGAATTCTAGTAGGTATATGCCTAGGTATAGGTCTCTTTTCATTGTTTCTGCCTGACACTCCATTACGTTTTGCTCTATAGACTCCTGTTCCTCTTCAGAATTTTTTTCTATCTTTTAAAAAAATCATTGTTTTTATATCCTTTTGTATTCTCTCCTCCTGGAATTCATGTTCTGTATCAGTAGAGTGCCTGGATTTGTCTTCTTGTCTCGAGACCCTGGCTTTTCTCTCATTTTCTTTTTCTGGCTTTAAAATAAAAAATCACTTCCCATCTATCTTGTTGTTTTAAGTTTAACAAGAATTGACACAGAGAATATTTTAGAAAAATAAATATTGGGTAAGTGTTTACATATGATAACTTTTTCTAGTCTTCTTTTGAGGGCCCTCCTTTTTTTTTTTTTTAAATTATGTTATGTTAATCACCGTACATTACATCATTAGTTTTTGATGTAGTGTTCCATGATTCATTGTTTGCGTATAATACCCAGTGCTCCATTCAATACATGCCCTCTTTAAGACCCATCACCAGGCTAACCCATCCCCCCCCCCCCCTCCCCTCTAGAACCCTCAGTTTGTTTCTCAGAGTCCATAGTCTTTCATGGTTCGTCTCCCCCTCCGATTTCCCCC